CTGCAGCCCTCCTGCAGCATGGTGGGAAGTTGCTGCACCTGCTACAACCAAGTGCAGAAAGCCTGTGGCTTGGTTTAAGAGATTTAAGCTGCTTCCCAACTGCGACTATTGACACAGCAACTATGTCACTCTAAGGGGCATTCAGAAGAAGAAATCCTGCCAAGTTACACAAGAGGTCTGAGAGCTTCTAGGTGGTAAACCTTCACTTTTAACAGTGCTCATTCATGTGCTTTGTGCACATGAATAGTCCTGCTGGTTTCAGTGGAGCCACTTGTATAAACAAACACACTGCAAAATAAGGAGAGGGTGTATGCCCTGGATTTTATTTCCCTTTTGGTCATTTGTTTAATTAGAGTACAACTTCTAGTAAGAATGGTATTTTAATAGCACACACTGCCTCAGAAAGGAACCTGTAGGACATTTTCTCCTTAAAGATCACCCATAAGGAAGGTTTATTAATAATTTTATTTATGACTCGTTGTAGTGTTTTAGAAAAAAGTGCTCTCAAAAATTAAGTAAACCTGTTAAAACTGAAAGTAAAGGGTGGGAATGTTTTTGCGTAGTAATCATATATGAAAACTAGTTCACTGTGAAGTCTTACAAGCTCTGAAAGACTACATATAAAAGTCTGTTCATAGGCATCATGATCACAGCCTTTTAAAACATTGGAATGTGCAAGTTAAATTCAAAAATTATTTAAGTTCTGATGCTCTCTAAAAGACAGCACAAACCAGAAACACTTGCATATAAAGAGTTGCAGACTGTGTTCTGGCTTCAGATTGGGTCACAAGAACCTCTGAAAGGCCACAAGGAATCTTTTTATTGGTAGCTTTGAATCAGGCAATGTGTTGCCTGAAATTAATATCTCTTCTTACAAAGCATCCAGTTCTATTTCACACTTGTGGAAATGAGGTTAAATGAAACTGCTGTACCAGCGGCTCAAGAAATTGTTAGCTGTCCGATGTTTGCTTTCTTTTTATCTCCTGAACATTGCTTGAGTTACAGAGCAGAGTGAGAAATTGTCTGTGGTTTGAATTACAGAGCAGAGTGAGAAATTGTCTGTTAATATAGCAAGTCAGCCATATCTTTATCCATCCATGTGTTGAAACAGTTCCATGAATATCTAACGGAGTGGGAAAAGCCTATTCCAAAACAGAAAAACAACAGAATGTATTGAGGTATCCATATAGGGCATATATTCAAGCTGAAACCTAACTTGAATTTTTCTTAATTGAATTATAGCTGCATTGAGAGATTCAGTCAGGACTAGTGTGTTTTTACAATAACCATACATAATCTGTAAATTCCTCAGCCCTGTAGAATAAGGAATAAGAGAAGGACATACTAATCTTACATTGCTTAATTTTAGGAAAAAGATGTCGAAATTCCTCAGCCCTGTAGGAATAAGGAATAAGAGAAGGAAATATTAATCTTGCATTGCTTAATTTTAGGAAAAAGATGTCTCTTTTATGTTACAAAACATATTCCTGAGCACCACAGAAGAGCTGGTCTGTTGAGAAGTCCTCAGATGTAATCTGACATCTGGTTCTCACACCCTTCATGGTGTCCTTGGGGGGATCACCCCAGTAAAATAACACCTACACTGTGTTGAAATGGCTCCTGGACTGTATATGGACTACTTCCTTCTGATAAGTCACAGATATTATATCAGTTGTGATAATTTTACTTTCCTGATGGTTCAGTTTAGTGTCCTCATTGAATTCAAGCTATAATAATATTGAATATGTATTTGCCTGTCTTGTTTTGCATATGGCATTTTTATTAAGTTCTTTGTCTCCCTCCTAAGCACATGAACTTGTTTCTTACTGCACAGCAACTCTGTTCAAACACTTTACAAATGTTCTACAGATCCGGGAAGAGCTGATCAAACCATGACACAACACTGAGGGCTCTGCCGTCTACATGGAGAGGTGTGTTTTCATTCCCTTCTGGAGGGACATTCAGTTGTGGCAGTCATTCAACAAAATTGGTATTTGGTAAAATACAAACTAATTGATAAACGTCAGTTGTGGCAGTCATTCAACAACTATCTGATAGTTGGTAAAATACAAACTAATTGATAAACGAGGGTTGTTGCCATGGTTGCCTGAAATATCCTGGTATTTTTTCCCTGTCCATCATTCACTTCTTACAAAGGTATAAGTATTTTCACTGTAACATATCTGTCAGTTTTTCTGGGAGAAGGTAAGGAATGTAACTGTATTAAAGCCTTATTTTTCACAGACAAGATCTGGTTATTAAATACTCTTTGTCTTTTTCTCAGGCAGATATTTAGAAGACTGAAACATATGTTTTTTGTTACTCATGAGAGTATTTTTTTGTTGTTGGGGGTTTAATTGTTTTGTTGGGATTTTTTAACAGATAGGGAATGGAAAAATCATGTAGCTTACTAATTATATGCCTACCTCCTTCAGACTATCCTTTCTGAAGGATAATGCTCTGACATTTCCAGATATTTGCTGTGAGAAAAAGAAAGCATTGCAATATGAAAAGTAAAATTTCAGCTCATTTTCTGTTTTCCCCTGTGTGGCTTTGGGGTGAAAAACTCCAGGAATTTAGAAAGATAGAAGGGATTTTTGTTGGTTTCTTTTAACAGTACTGTTTTACAGAGTGCTTGATGTGAAGAGGACAAGTCACAAGAATATAGGAACAGGCTCTTAGGTTTGCCCGGTATAGCACTGAACTGCTACTCAGAAGAAAAAAAAGCTGTTTTCAGCTCCTTAAAAAAGTAAAACACACATTTATTTTTGACACTGACCACTAGCAGCACATCCCAGAGGGATTCTGTTGTGCTGTTCTCCACACTGGTGTCAGGGTGGCATCTGCTGGGAGTTCCCTTGCATCCTTCAGATCTGCATAGTCACAAAACTTCTGAGGTAAAACTCCAGTCTATTGGGACCTGCCAGCCACAGACTGCTAGGTACTTACTGGGACATTATTTCACCCCATATATTGTTCTTTTTTTTTTTAAATACAGTAGTTATATTACTGAAATAAAAGGCAATACAGTTTCTCATAGGACAGATGATGGAGTCCTGTTTTTAGTTCTCTTCCCTGAGGATCTTACCTTTGACATTAAAATGAGACCATCTTACTTAGCCTCCATTTGCCCTAAAAGTAACCTCTTAATGCCAGAGAACGAATTCACCTCTCCAGACAGGGTATTTGGATTCAAAAACTTTTATGAACTCCACATTGAAGCAGTGAATAAGCCACAGAAGCTTTAGTCATTATGTGAAAAAGCATGTCATGTAGGAAAAAAAAGTACTACTGAGGTACATTTTGATAAGATGTCAGCACAAGAGAGGACTCAGAAGCATTACAATCAACCAGTCCAGCTGCAAAGCAATGCTGTTTAAGATGACTACCCACACTGTAATGAATGCAGAGACCTGTGACACATACACGATACAAATATACTAATCATGATATAATTATCATTAGCTTGCCTTGACCCTGTATTTCATAGTACTGTAATGACATAACTAGACATAATTTTAACAAGTATATATGGAATGTGATCACCAAAAGGCCAAAGATAGTAGAAGACACCCAAGGAACAAAAATCTGGCATACATGACAATTGATCAGCACAAGTGACTGCAAACAGACATACAGGACATCCTCTGAGGATGGTCAGAAAAATAAAAAGACAAATGGTGTTGGGGGGGGGTGCAACAGCATAAAAGCATGAACACAGAACATCCTCTGAAGATGGTCAGAAAAATCAAAAGAGAAATGGTGTTGGTGGGGGGTGCAACAGCATAAAAGCATGAGGCATAAACAAGGAAAAGTAGAGGAGGAAGACTGCACACTTTGATGTTTAATGTATCCTTCAGGAGCTCCCAAGTCGGACTTCGGCAACTAAGAACCATGGAAGACTATAACCAACATTGCTAACTTTGCAGCATCAGCTCTAGGGTACTGTACACTTAGAACCAGATTTAAACTGATTTCAAAGACCAAGAGTTTTGTATGCATAGTGATGAGATCAACATTATGGAAGATTCAACCATTAGCAAGAAGTGAGCTACTAATGAGAAATGTTTAATTCAGTAATGTGTAATTCTACAGTGTAAAACTGACCTAATTTGTCAGTCTTCTGAATGCTCCCATCACAGCCATCTCTGATTCCCTCACTGACAGAAATGCTTTTAGATGCAACAGCTTAGTCACTAGGAAGTGCTCCTTGTAAATATTAAGGCCAGCTCAATGGCAGATAGACCGAACCTCATGAGAAGGTACTTATAAGTAAATGAGGGAGAGGAAGAAGTGCAAAGGAACTTGTAAGTAAATGAGGGAGAGGAAGAAGTGCTAAAGTTTACTTCTTTGACACATGAGTGCATGGTGCAAATCAAGGCAGCTCTGTGGCATCCCTTATTAAGTCTACACCTTGCTTAGTGCAAAGGTGACACCAACTGAACCTCTTTGACACTGCTTTTGATACGGAAGCAGGGCACTTAGAGGCAGCATGATAGAACACAAACAGGGCCTTTAAGGCATTTGTTTTGGGGGGTAAAGAATAGCAAATGAGAATGCACTTCGAGAACAACCAGGGTTTTTTTTTAAGTTTGCATCACACTTTCTTTCTGTGTTTCCATGCTATTACCCAGAAAATCTATTGCATTAGAAGAAATTCATCTTACTCTCAGGAAAATATAAATGTGTAAAAGCTATCATGCAAAATAAATACTCCTATTCACCGAAAACATAATACAGTTCAAAAACAATGACTAGTCATTTGCAAAAAGTTGTCCATCTCCCAGCACTGCTATTCTAAGACATTTATTGATTCACAATTATCTCCTGAGAAGACTATTAAGTCCTAGTGTGCCTATTCTCCCACTCCGGATAAATTATAAATCTTCACTATACTGCTTGGGTTTTTTTTCTCTGAAACACGACTGCAACTGCAAATCACTGTACTTGTACTAAATATTCTCCTCTTTAGTTTACTTCATGGGCTACGTCAATCCTACCTAACATTGTCATGCCTTTGAATGTAAATCTTGTGGAAAATCCTTTCAGGAGGCTTCAGGAAATCTTCCTTCATTTCCATCGCAACATTCCTGGGCAAAAGACTCATCAAGAGACGTTCCTAAAAGAAAACACAAACAACATCAGTTTTGTGGTCTAGTGTGTGACCATTTTCTTAAAGTTTTAAACTAGCAAACTAGACAATCTTTTCCTAATGTAGTCTGCTTCCTGAAAATTTCTGCTGTGTAAATAATATGAGCCATTTCTCTCCAACTCCTGCAAACTGTATGGGTGTCTTTTTTTTTAAAGTTTTCTGCACTAAAATAATTAAATAAAAAAACTACACAGAAAGGGAAGAGCCAGCTTCAGGAGCAGATAATTGTCCATAATTTTCATTAACATTACAGTGTTAATAATAACAACTTACTTTATTGTTAGTAACATTTATCTGTCTGAGAAAGTCTTCCCAGGATCATTTGCTATCCTTTTGTGTGCCCTAATTCTTTCTGGATCTAATGAAAGTGTTACATTAGAAGTACTATGACAGCTGGTTATTAAGCAGTGAGAGTGGATGACGGATTTATCCACTGTTTGAATTAGAACAGTAATAAAGGTACAGTTTTAATGGCATTTTATCCAGTGTGACAATGTCTGTTCCAGCCAGATCAGTAATGAAATGCATCAGTACAAAACCCTGGATAAACACATGTCTTCCTGCTATACTCAGGGACAGACTTTTAGCATGGGTCGGTGACTGGCCTAAAAAGGACCTCTGATATTTTGGATCTTGTTAGTCTTGACTATTAGGGCCTCTGTAGTTTTTCCACATATTCTGGCATACTGACAGGTACCACCTGGAAAATTTGCAGCTTGCCATCCTAGGAGCTGTAAGGTGTGCTTAGATACCTACTTAAGTTTTGTTTTCACACAGAAAACACCATTTAAAATGTAGTTTCAAGCTTATCCATCAGACCTGCTAGCTTCAGCCATGACAACAGTCTGAATGAATTCACACAACCACATCCGATCTGATTCAGGAGTCCCAAGTTCCAGACCATAAGGGGAAAGGCTGGAACATGGAAAATGTATCCTTGGCAGAAGAGGATTAGGTCAGGGAATAATTAAGCAAACTGAACAGATGTAAGTCCATGGCCCCTGGCAGGACCCACCCACAAGCACCGCGTGAGGTGGCAGATGTCACTGTAGGGCCACTCTTAATAATCAAACATGGTGACTGAGAGAAGTGGCTGAAGACTGGAGGAAAGAAAATGTCACTTCTGTATTCAAGAAAGGCAAGGAAACTACAGGCCAGTGACTTTGACTTTGGATCCTGGAAAAGCAATGTAGCGTCTCATCCTGGGAACCAGCGTAGTTGCACCAGATGACCTCCAGAGTACTGCTCCTACCACAACTGTCCTGTGATTCTGTTATCTGATGATAGAGAGCCACTGTAATGGCAGCTGCAAGACATCACAGAAGTGCATATTTTGGCCCAACCACATTCTTCTTTTATTTGAATGACATTAAATAAATAAGGAGCAATAATTACCACTGAGAAGAGGATATCCGCACAGACAAGTGCTTTGTGTCACTCACATGCACACATTCACCTGTCAAAACCATTAAACAATACTCAATGTTTCTGATTTTATAGTTCCTTTGGTAAGAAGACACATTGAATATTTCTATCACCATGGAATAAGTTTTACTTTGCCGTCAAAACCATTAAATAATACTCAACGTTTCTGATTTTAGAGTTCCTTTTGTAAGAAGACACATTGAATATTTATATCACCATGGAATAAGTTTTACTTTGCAAAACTACACTGGTACTTACTTTAGACTAAAGTTGTTTCATATTTTTGTGGCAGTCACATGGACTTGAGGGTAAGGACCATTAACTACTGTTGTTATATGTATACTAAGAACATTGCAAAGAATATAATGGAATTAAATATTTGGCAACACTTTATGCATGTAGCAATTTCCAATTAACCAAAGTGTCTCATATCTTGGTTAAAAAAAAGGTTATTGACTATAATTTTTATGATAATTTAATTAAGTATGCAAAAAAAAAAGGTTATTGACTATGATTTTTATGATAATTTAATTAAGTATGCTTATACCTCTGTAGCAGAAGTATATGGGTATATGGGTAACCCAAAATTTGGGTTAAAATCCACATCAAGTATTTGGTGAACAGTGGATCTTATGAAGCTCTGTTGCCTGCTACTTGTGTCTTACACTTTTTTTACTGTTTTAAATGAAATATACTGAGGTTGCAATATGACCACCAATCAGACAACAGAGAATCCATATAAGAGAGAAGTTTGGACTGATGGCCAAATTCTCTGGTGCTTAAGATGGCATAAACTTCAAATGATGCTGGAATTTCATAAGTATTGTTCTAGAAATGAAAATTATGATGACTGATAAGGACTAAATGTTCTCTGTAGCTTCTCTTTCAGTGAGCATGTAAACAAGATCTTTGCCATTTTGCTGAAATGGGTAAGTAAATTCCAAAACTGTTATGGAGAAAGAGTGGGTTTTCAGCCTCTGTTTCCTAGAAAGTCAGACTAAACCAGACAAACAATCAAACAAGAGTTATACTGACAGACTCTTACAGATGCCAGTGCTGACTGAAGAGTTCTTCTACAGCCCGCAAACGCAATTACGCTACACAAAGTGACTAAAAAGCTCACAGGTAACTTCTGCAGTGCATGGCAAGTAGCACAGAATCCAGGGAAATAATAAGAATCATTACTGTGAAGGCAGCACTGGAGAGACGCAGGATGCAGCACTTGATATTGTTGAAACATGCAGATGTCAGATGTATTAAGGGAAGCTACAAAAATGATGATTCCTGTACACGTTAGCTTGACTATTACAAAACCTGAAGGGAGCTTATGAAAATCCTGTATCAAGTTGTGGTGGCTTGCTTTTTTCATTAGAGATGAGGGGGAAAAAAAAGATGGATTACTGAGGAAGAATTGTAGAGTCTTTGCAAAGAGGGTTAGCAGCCTCAGACTCACCAAGCGAGGAAAGACTCAATTATGGCTTTCTCAAAGGGCAGCCACTGCTGACCTTTCAGACCAAGAAGGGAAACAGCATCATATTTGTAAGGATTTGTCACTGAAAGAAGGACCAGAAAATGTAAGAAAGAAAAGTCTCTTCTATTTTGGGAAAATCTCATCTGTTAAGCAAAGCAGTACTGCCCTTCAGGTCAGCCTAAGGAATGCTCAAGGACTCAGAGTTTTGGAGCAGCAGGAGTACACATGTACACAAAATATAGCTGTTGGAAGGTTTGGGATGTCTATTCAGCGAGTTCTACCATTGCTGTCTGACTTTTTTTAATCTGCTCCCATACAGCTGATCTGATTATAAAAATAATCTGAGAACCACACTAAAAGGAAAGCTAGATGTGCATGGCTGCATAGTGCATTGAATGGAACAAGTGACAAAACTAAAGCAAGGCCAGTCACATTTGTGGTGACATTCATGCTTGAGTGGTTGTTGCCTCTGACAGGGACTGGTGATGACAGAAAAAAATAGAAAGAGTGACACAGGGAGCACTAGTCGATTAGCAGCAACTTTTACTGAAATAAAACAATACTCATACTGCAGACATTCTTGTTGGTGACAAAGGATGTTGTATTGAGGTAGCCTCAATGTGTGACATATTCATAAACACAGGGTCTAGTAGAGAAAAAAATGTTTCCACATTTTAACCTTTCTCACCAATTCACAGTGTTCAGGCTTATTATAGCTGTTTTCTACCCCAAGAAATAAATCTTGGCCCTATGACCAACTTACACTATTTTAGGAATTTGTACTTCTTCTCCTGCTCTAAATCTTCATTCAGCATTAGCACGGTCTAAAATGAAATCACATGCTGAAGAGATTCTTTTCAGAGACTGTCATTGCCAGTCAATGATTTTGCATTCCCTGCACAAATCTCACTAAAAAATAGAAAATGATAGATGAGGACCTGTATCTCCTTCATTCATAAGATTTTACATTCCCAGTCCTAGTCAGGGATTTTGAATGCCAAACTGGGCTGCCTCTGCCAACTCTCTCATCCTCATTACTATGGATTTCTGCACTATTAATGAAGACTTAGCTATTTTTGAAAAGGACACTCAATTTAGAAAAACATCCAGATTTCTTTCTCCCACAGCAATGAAGCATCACTAGAAATTAGAGAAAGAAAAAACATTCATTTTGACTCCAAGGCAAGGCAAAATATACATACCAAGCCAATTAGGAATTGCTCAGTGTTACCTTGGCATTATTCAATAATTAGCACCATTCTACACATGACAAAGAAGGAAAATATGCAAAGGCAGGGAAATTGATAAGGAAAAAAGTGTTTCCCATTGTTAATGGCCAAAAAGGCCCTATATTACTACTTGCTGTTTGGACCATTCTCAACTCTATTTGCAAGAACAAGCTCCTGGACTGCAACTTTCACTTCGGGTTGAAGCTGGGAAAAGTGTTTAATAGTTATTCAAGACTTGACTAGAGAAAGCCACAGCTGACAGTCCTGCTTTTAGAGAGTGGTTTGACTGGACGGTCTCCAGAGGTCCCTTTTGAGCGCTGGGTACCAAAGGAGACAAGCCCAAAGGATAAGGAGTGGAGGGTGCCTGCAGCCTCCTGTGGAAGCCTGAAGCCATCCTGCTATTTTGTCACATAAAAGTGTGGCTCCTAAAACAGCAGGGAAGCTCAAGGCTCAGAGCCTTTTAACAATTGTGTCATTTCTCTTTCCTGAGAGGGGAGTGCAAAGAAGCAAGTCCAGACTGTTGAAGCAAAAGATTCCATCATCTGTGTGCTCTATTCTGCCCTAATGCTCTCTTCAGCTTTCTCCAATTTGGAAGCTTCTCAGCATAATTCCCCCTCCCATCCCCATTCCTGGCCTGGACAGTCACAGCATAATTCTCCCACCCATCCCCATTCCTGGCCTGGACAGTCTCTCCTACCAGTAGCCCTGGTCTGCTTTTATGGGACTCCCCATTGCATCCCAATACATTTCTTGTGCCTGTCTCCAAATGAAGATGTCAGCCTCCCTCCCACTTCGAAAATCATTCTCTTTCTTATTTTACTGCTTCTTTCAAACACTTATAA